GGTATTTTTAATAACTTCAATTATATATGTAAAAAATTATATGATCCATGAGTAGTCTAAATAAAATTTGTAACATTAGATAACTATTATTATCAAGTTGCCTAAGAGAAATAAAATGGTATTTAATGGTAGTTAATACATGGACTGACTTAGTTTCTGGTCTATTAAAATATTACCAGTGGCAGATTTTCAAATGGTTGCACTATAATAGATGGCTGAATAACCAAGTTCAGACTTAGTTCAAGATGACATAACTGCAGCTAAGTTTACCCGTCAGTTCTAGTTTTATACTGCTTTCCCTTTAGGCCACTATATTGATTTTGTCTATTATAACAGCAAACCCAATTTAAATTGTCTTAATAAATGGCATTTATTAGCCTAGGTAACAACAACAAAAATTAAACACAAGGTAGTTACCAAGTGTGGTCCAATTAGGCCCTGGTTTAATTTTCAAGTTATTTTGGCTTTGCCCTTCTACATATTGGCTTTACCCACAAATTGGTAGCTAGGGAGCTGTTAGGATTCTAGTTCCCACACACAAGGGACCTTTATCTCTTCCTTGAGAGTGAGGAAACAGCTGTTTTGAAGGCCCTACAAATATTTCCCTTGCTTTTCACTGGCTTGTATTGTGTCACGTGCTATTCCCCGGCCAATTCCTGTGGCTAGAGTAATACTACACTAGAATTGGTTTAAAGCCAAATTCCTGAACAACTTTTGTTAAAATTAATGGCATTCAAAACAAACAAACAAACAAACAAACAAGCAAAGAAAAAGAGCCGGGCGTGGTGGTGTATGCCTGTAATCCCAGCACTCTGGGATGCTGAGGCAGGAGAATCATTGTGAGTTTGAGACCAGCCTGGGCTACAAAGTGAGCTCAAGGCCAGCCTGAACTGTGTAACGAGACCCTCTCTCCAAAAAAGAAAAGAAAAGAAAAGAAAAGATTAATGGCATTACATTCATCAGTTTTTTGTTTTTTTTTTTGAGACAAGGTTTTGCTATGTAGTTCAGGCTGGCCTTGAACTTACTATGTAGCCCAAGTTGCCTTGAACTCAATGGTCCCCTTGCCTCAGCCTCCCAGAGTGCTGGGATCACAGGTGTGTGCCACCATATCTGGCTACACTAACATTTTCACACAGTGGGTTATAACCAAAGAATGGATCCAGAATTTGTGGACTGTATCTGTCATTTAAAAAATTAAATAGAAAAACAGACTGCACTACACATATGAAGGGTTAGCAGTTTTATGAACCTTAAACACACATACACTTGTATCACAGTGTAAAATGTTTTTTGTGGTTTGTGGTCAAAAATATTTTGAAAACTATTTTAGGTCTTATGCTCTACTGAATCAGCTAGATAGAGCTAAATATTTTAGTTTCTCCTTTAATGTTTTCTAAATGTTAAAATATGCCTTCCTTCCAAACAAGCCTTTCTAGAAAAAAAAAAAAAGCCTTTCACTGATTCTACCCAATAAGTATCCATGATAGATATAAATTTATGACCAATTTATAAGCAGGTTTATGAAAACATCATGGTAAAAGATTCACTGAAAAAGCTTGTCCCTTGTTTGTTTTTGTCTTTTTGAGAGAGGGTCTCGCTATGCAGTTCCGGCTGGCCTTGAGCTCACTTTGTAGCCTAGGCTGGTCTCGAATTTGCAATGATCCTCCTGCCTCAGCCTCCTGAGTGCTGGGATTACAGGCGTGGGCTACCACGCCCTGCTTTTTGTTTGTTTCTGAAACAAGGTCTCACTCTGAACTCTGTAGCCCAGGCTGGACTTGAATTTGAAGCCATCCTCCTGCCTCCTGAGTGCCGAGACTATGGGCAAGCACCACACCCTGGAGTAGGAAAGTTCCCTTTGTAAGAAAAAATGTCTTTCAAAGAGCTGAGCAGTTTTGATGCTAATCTTTCTTTAGGCTTAAAATTTGATGTTGAGCTGCATGTGATGATGCAGCCTATACTCCTAACTCTTTGGAGGCTGAGATAGGAGAATGAACTACGAGTTTGATGCCAGTTTGGGCTACATAGTGAGTTCAAGGCCAGCCTGAACTTCATAGTGAGATGCTGTCTCAAAACAAACAAAACACCAACTTACCTGATAAGAATTTTAAGAGTTCATTCTAATTTAACCCCTTTCATTTAATAAATGAAGAAACTAAGGCCTGGAGTGGGGATGAACTTATCTATTGTAAGGCTGCAGAACTCTGTTGATACTTCAGAATTTTTTCCATTGTGCTAATTAACAATAGTTATACTAACTGCATTTGGAACTAGACATATCATCCAGCAGCTTCTACATCTACCTTTAAGTACTAAAACCCCATTCTCACTAGCCATGTAACAATGTAAGACAGTTCTGATAGGTTATAGGAAGGGCGAACAGTTCACATCAAGTTGGGGAGGGTCAGTATTGAAGAGGTCTAGTGATAGATAACAGGGGTCCAGCCAATTCAATTGGATTTAAATGCAGGAACCTAGACTCCCAGAGGAGGTTAGGAGAAAAGGACTGAAAATTGAGAGGTTTTGTATCTCAAGAGGTTGACATCCTAGACAGAATATAGGTTCAAGACCAATAATTGGATAAGAAATCTAGTTATCAAATTTTATGTACAAGCCAGACACAAATATTATGGCACTGGACATCTCAAACTTGGTCATTTAATTAATTAATTAATTAATTAATTTTTTGTCTTTTTCAGACAGGGTCTCACTATGCAGTCCAGGCTGGCCTTGAGCTCACTTTATAGCCCAGGCTGATCTTGAACTCGCAACGATCCTCCTGCCTCAGCCTCCCAGAGTGCTGGGATTACCAGCGTGAGCCACCACACCCGGCCTTGCTTTCTTTTTGAGACAGGCTCTTGCTTTGTAGTTGATTGGCCTTGAATTTGTGGTGCTTCTCCTGCTTCAGCCTCCCAAGTGCTGGAATTATAGATGTGCACCACAATACCCGACTGTTTGGCTTTTTGAGACAGGGATTTGCTGTAGCCCAGGTTGGCCTTGAACTCACTTTGTATCCCAGGCTGACCTCAAACTCAGGGTGATCCCCCCGCTTCAGCCTTCCAAGTGCTGGGATTACAGGCATGTTTCACTACACTCAGCTCAAAGTAGGTAATTTTATTTTTTTGGTACTGGGAATTGAACACAGGACCTTGGGCTTGCTAGGCAGGTGCTTGTGCTGCTGAGCTATATCCCTAGCCCCTAAAGTAGGTCATTTTAAATTATGGGATTGGTAGACAAAAGTATTTCATGTATGCTAAATTACAATGTATCTTTTTAGATAATTTTATTTGATAGCATTTAATCTATACTCTTACACAAAAGCAGTACTATTCTGGAGTAGGTGGCTAACACTGGGTGAATTTTGTGGGGGGTGGTAGGATTTGAGATAGGGTCCTGCCATGTAGTTCAGGCTGGCCTTGAACTCACTATGTATAGCCCAGGCTGGCCTCAAACTCGCAGCAATTCTCTTGCCTCACCTTCCTGAGTGCTGGTATCGCAGGAATGTACCACCAAGCCCGACTGTTGGGTGAATTTAGAAAACACAAGATTTAGATTATAATCTCAAATCACTATTTGTCTCAAGTCACTATTTGATACTCAGAAAAATTTTAGGGCAATAATTGACTAAATTCTCTAACTTGACCTCACATTACTTAATCCTATAGGACTACAGTAAAGATTACTGATAACATATAAAGCATCTACTAAGGTGTCTAACACAAACAGATGCTTAATAAGGTGATAAAAGAGCTAAAACATGATTTAAATTGCTTAACCTCACTACTTCAGATGAGGAGAGGTCTGATGGCCTGAAAGCCATCAAAGAATAAAAATTCGTGACGTGTGCAATCAAGTTTAACTGAGACATGGTTGGGCAGGACTGAGAACACGTTGCGCATGTATTTCTGATCAACCTGTTAGATTTACATATACTCTTGGTTAATCTTCCTAATAATCTTTCAAAGGAGATAATAATTTTACAGATGAGATAAATGAAGTTCAAGAAAGTTCGGAATGATGTACTCAGAGGGCTAAGCAGTGGAACGGACCCTTGAACCCAGTCATTTTACCACATTCTGCCTTAATGAGATATTTCTACTCACCCAGATAGACAGGTTTGGATAATTGGGATTAAAGAAATAAAGATTATTTACAGTAGGCCTTGACTTTAGGAGTGACACAAAATGTTTTAATATTGAGTTAGGGACTAGTATTTTATAATAAGACACAGGAAAATTAGCCCAGGACAGAAAAGTCAGTCAGAAGCCCTTTACAGTATTCCAAGAATAACTGGTAGGAGCTTCAGTGTAATCATCTTCAAGTGCTGTACAGAAAGACCCCACTGATTTAGATTACTATATATGGAAATTGCAATAATCTATATAGGAACTAGAAAGAAAATATCTGAGAACATTTTTTATATTTTTCCTTTTTCAATAGTTCAGCTTTCATCTCAGAATGATGACCTTCCTCAATGACTTCTGCATTACGGCACATTGACTTCTACCTGGGATAACACAGCCAACAAAAACAAAGGGTAGTACTGGGTTCACACGGTACCAGTTTCTTTTTTTACTGGCTCATCCACACCATTACTCTTTTCTTTTATTAACCATTTACCTTAGTAGAGCCTTTTGCTAGACAATGAAGACAGATCTGGATAACAACCTCTAATAGCTCAGTCCAGTAACAGTGAAAATCATGAGACCACCAGGATTCAGAGTTGCAATAGACAATCCCCAAAATAAATAGAACAGTGCAAAATAGAATCAAAATAGAAAGATCTAGAGAATGAAAATATCTGAAGATAAACTAAGTGAAAGTATTGCAAAGCAAATAGGAATCTGTCAGAAAGTGAGATGGGAAGGAAGTAATTTTTTTGAGACCTGAAAGCATGAAACCGTGTGATATATTTAGGCCGTGGCAAGAAGTCCCATGGGATTGGAGGGCTGCAGGGCAAGCATGGCTAGAAAAATGAACAGGGATTAGATTCAGGAGATACGTTATGCTAAGAACTGAATTTTATTTTGTGGCTCATCATTCCTCAGTTACGACTATGAAACCCTGTGAAAATTACAAGTAAAGAAATGCCAAAAACATTGAAATTTTTGATTCTTTAGCTTTCTTAAAAATCAAAATACTAAAAAATTGGAATCATTTTATTTAAAACCCCAAATACTAGAAATGAAGTAAATTGTCTTTTATTTTCACTTACATTTGGTTATCAAGACATGCAAAACTCTCCAATTTTAATGAGAACAGTGTTTTTGTGTCTTTTTATCGCATATCCGTTTAATATTAGGTGTAATGTTACTAAGACGGATCCGCATATGAGGTGCAGCATCAAGTCTTTTCCTATATTTTGTTTTAGTTGCAGCATAATATGAAAATCCTGTTTCACACAAGTGCATTGTAGCAAAAGGAAGAAGCACACGAACTGCACGCCTTGCAATACCTGGGTACTCTTGAATTAGGCTACTCCAAAAATCATTTAGTGAAAGTTCACTGAAATTTTGTTTCACTTGAGAATCAGATGTTAAGTCAATCAGGCTCTCATAATCCCGTGCTACTAAAGAGGCTGGTTTAACAGTTACTGTAAATGGATTTCTAACCCAAGCATTACTGTCATTTGTTACAGGAAAGTATTTTAGAAGGGTAGAGCGCAAACCCCTTAAGTGTTGCACAATGGCACTGCAAATATCTTTATCAACTGTAGAATTAATTTCAGTCAAAAAGTCACTGAGTGTAGGAAAACAATCAAAGTTTTCTTCTTCTACAGATGAAGCCCAAAATTCCAATTTTCTTAACAATGATGACATTTTATCAAACACTGTAAAAACTGTTACATTTTTCCCTTGCATCGACAGATTAACCTCATTTAATTTAGTAAAAATATCAGCAAGATATGCAAGTCTTAGCAGCCAAGATGAATTTGTTAAACAATCAGATAGTCGAAAAGCAGAATCCATAAAAACCAGTAATTCACGCCGAAGTTCAAAAAGTCTTACAAGAACTTTACCTCGGGTAAGCCACCTTACCTCTGTATTTAGAAGAAGTGCTGTGTGCTGAGCACCCATTTCTTCACATAAAATTTTTAGTAGTCTCGATTGATGTGGTCGAGCTTTAATATAATTGATGATTTGTACTGCTTGATCTAGCACACTTTTAAGGGATGTAGGCATTATTTTAACTGCTAGTGCATGTCGATATAATAGGCAGTGACTGTTGGTGCTTTCAGGGGCCACATATTTTATCAAGGTGACAGCCTCAGCAATTTTCCCATCTGTTGCCCTAGAAGCATCACTACAAACATCAACACATTTTTCCCATTCAATTTCATGTTTCTGCATAAAACTGTTGATGCAATTGAATATTTCTTCACCTGTAGCATTACTTTGCAAAGATTCACATAAGAGTAGGTCTTCCTCAATAGATTTATTAAACCTGTAACGAATAAACACAAGCAGCACAGCAAGTCCTGAAACATCAGCTGATTCATCTAGCTGTAGTGAAAACCCATCACATACTTTTAGTCTACAAACAAGCTCTTCCTCAATGTCAGCAGCTAGATCCTTAATTCGACGTGCAACCGTACTGTTTGAAAGTTGTACTGCATCTATCTTCTTACTATATTGTTCATCAAACATCCGCATCACTACATCTTTTGCACAAGGTTTGATAAGCAATTCTCCAATAGTGTGAGCCTCTCCACTCAGGGCTATATGGTAACTCACATTGTATGATGCCTCTGTAGCACTTTCATTATCTGTATTGACAATTTTAGGTGTTGGGGGTTTATTATTTTCAGGTGAATCAAGATGCTGCTTGAAAAAGCTAATGTCTTTGTCTTTATACGCAGCATGTTTAGTTTCCAAATGTCTTCGTAGCTTACTTGGGGCTAAAGAGCTATTTGATAAGATTTTCTTACATAATACACACTGAGCATGAGGTGCATCTCTATTTCCAAAATAAGTAAATCCAAAAGACAAATAACTTTCATCATATTTTCTCCTCTTTGGTTTCTTACTAAATGTTGTCATTTTATTGGATCCAGACATAAATTTGACCCTGGAAAGCTCACCTTCTGATTTTTTAGAAACTGATGGCTGCAGCTGTTCATCTTCACTTTGTAATATTCCAACTTTTTGATCATTTGATTCAGATACAATTTGGTAACAAAAAGATTCTACTTCTTGTTTAAGACTTCCTTGCTTCAGCAAAAGATCCATGGGTAAAGAGGTTGTGGTACAAAACATGGTTAATTTAGAATAAAGATTGAGTATTACAAATATGTTGAAATTATTAGACAGGATACAAAAAGATGAGAGATGATATATAATAATACATCACTTAATCTGTAAGTGCTGCCTATGCATCAATGCGCAGATGGAACATCACACGTTCGTTTATCAGGTGATCTCTCATGCGACTTGCTGGTGCTCTCAGGTATGGCACACCTCTCTTAAAGGTAGATTATCACATAAAAATAAAAGCTATAGAAATGAGTTTAGTAGTCTTAAACTTATATTTAAATAAACAATATAGAAACACTATTATCAGCGTCAGTTTTTTTCTCAAAACACTTATTCACTTAGAGTATTAACATTTTATAAAAAAGCTGGGAACCATTAGGCTAAGAAATAACAAAGAGTTGATAAACATTTTAGGGAAATAACGTATTTAGGACTATACCCCGTGGCAAGGGCTGGCAAACATTTTACAAAGGGCTGCATAGTTGGCTTTGTGGGCGATAACAGTCTTAGTTGCCCTACTGAAATCTGTAGCTATAGCATTACAGCAGCCATAAATGAAGGCTAAAAGAATGGCTGTGGCTGTGTTCCAATAAAACCCTATGCATACAAACAGTACATATCATAACTTGCCAATCTCATCTCATGTAATGAGATGGAAACTTGGAAACTCTGAGCTTTTTGGTGCCTACTGCCATTCGATGTATTAAGTATTGATACTATTATATAGCTTAAGTCTCCCTTCACAGATGGCAACAATTCTAATAACCTATACTAAAAACACACAAAGGTCCAAGTGCTACAAGGCGGAATTCTATTGTATCCTAAATATTATATGTTAATAATAAAGAATGAACTATAGACCAAAAGTTACTCTGGACTTAAAAATTACATATGCTTACATTATTTTAATTAAGATTTAAAGTAATGTATATTTTTATTAATTACTTTGCATTCTGTTACACTATATGAAGACTTAACTGGGACCTTAAGAAAATCTAAATTCTTATTTTTAAAGTTTTCTCCCTGATATAATAAAAAGCACAATAAAAACAGTAACACAAGCTCAAAAATCTCTAATAAATACTATATTTTATAGGTTAAGTTTTTTTACATTAGAGATAAATTATCTAAACAACTATAGCTATATTTGACTCAGACTTTTACCTCTGACTACAGAGTAAGATTGCTACACTCATGTTAGATCCTCAATCAAGATGGTTCTTTTGTTAATAGGTAAAACAGGGTAAGATACCTGAAATGAGGAGTACTCCCCTTCTGCAATCACACTGTTCACTTTGGCAGCTTGAAATGCAGACTCTTCAAAAGAATAAAATTAAGGGATGGGCTGGGAAGGGGAGTAACCAGAAGCCTAGAATGAGAAAAATTAAAATTAGACACTGCAACAGGACTAACTACAAACTTCTAAGACAACCAAACATGAACCACAATTTATTTTAAATTTAGGTAGTGCAAGTGAGTCTTGCAGCACAGCTCTTGGACTAAAACAGAAGATGCACAGCTTCTAGTAAAATAAAAATGTACTTTCATCCTGTTTTAATATTTGACAATTTCAGTGCTTTGAAATGCTCCCTTTTGCACTAACTTCAGAGAAATGCACAAAACTTTCAGAAGCTAAACCTAAATTTTACAAGTATAGCTCCATCTTAATGTCTCTAAAAGCAGCACTGAACTAAAATGGAATTAATTATACACGGTAGTGTTATATGAAATATGCCTTTGGCTATAACGTTTTGTCCCCTCAATAATCAATCTCCTAAAGCAACTAATGTAATTATTAATTATTGTTTACTATGTGCCTGTAACTGTTCTCAATTCCTCCTATAGATTAGCTTATGTAAACAAAAGTTTGGGATATTAATAATCCCACTTCAGAGGCGGATAAAGAGATTAAATTACCTCCTAAATTAACATTATCTTTTAAGAAACACACAGCCCGAAGTTTGATCGCACAGCACACGTGCCTAGTCATTACTTGTGTGTTCCCTAACATTCTATTCCCCAAGCATTAAAAGACAAAAAAAAATCTGGTGCCAGGAATTGGGTCGCACAGAGAAACATTAACAATGGGTTACAACTGCCAGAAAGTCAACGGTCTCAAACTGCCAGAAAAAACATCTTTCTTATCGGGAGCAAAACAGCATCCTCCTTCACGGTCTCAACTTGGATGTAGCAAGACAACTTCGTGGAGACGCTGGTTTACCTAAAGGATTAGGATTCTTCTCTCTTGCTGTCAGAGGACAGAAGCGTAGAAGCTTCGTTTTCCCGAGGAGGGCCACATCTTGAGAAGTGTGACCCGAATCTCTTGGGGACAAGTGATCGGTATTTATTCCCTTGAGCGAACTTTCCGTTCCACTCCGCCAAGAGGGAAAAACACTCATCTTCCCTCTCTCCTTCCCGTTAAACTGACAGGTCCCTCGATCCTTCCCGCCTTCTCCGCCCGCGCACGGCTCCAGGTGAGGACAACCGCTCTCGGGGCAGAAGGGCAGGGTCCGAGCGCAGCCAATCATCACAGGCGCGGGCAGCCCTGCCACACCTCAGTGCTCCTCTCCAGGGCCACTTCGAACTGCGGCCCGGACCCGCCACCCCTCAGCTCCTCCCTCTCGCAGGTGCGGGCGGCCCACAGACCGCCACCTCCGGGCTGGCTTCCGGCCGCAGCCCAGCCTGCTTCGGGGCTCCTCTCGCGTCCCCCGGCGGTCGCCTTCGCTAAGGACCACAGGAAACCAACTCAGCACCCAACACCTTCCTGCTTCCTCTCCATCAGCTACGGACAGAGCGGTCCTGGCCGCGGCTGGGCTGCCCAGCAGCGCCGCGGCCCCCAGCGGAGCCCGTGACCGCCATTTTAGACAGCTGGAGGCAGCGGCCATTTCGGAGAGCGCCGCTTAGCCGCGGTGGCGGCTCTGCTCCTCACCTTCACCGAGGCCTGAGCAGGGTGAAGAGCCAGTCGTCGCAGACTGGAAGGAGGAAGAAGGGAGAGGGGGTGAAAAACAAAACAGAGGAAAGAATGATGCGGGGACAGGGTGATGCTCTCAGCTCAGGGGCATCGCCTAAGCCACCTCCATAGAGCTCCGATTCGCGGGTGGCGAGGTCCTGGTCTGGAGATAAATTTAGCACTACGGAGCAACCGAACGCCACAGTCTCCAGGAGCGATCCGCCGCCCCCCAATCAGCGGCCGCGCTGCTACCCTCCACCAATCTACGCTAAGCAGTGGGGCGGGACCAAAGAAAAGAACAGCTCGGTTGAGGCGTCGCTGCTAAGGAGCGCGGCGGTGTTTCGGTAGCGGTTCTGCTGGTTGTTGTCGAACTTCGTGGGACCGCAGCCGCCCAGGCTGTAGTTTAGAATACCGTTTCTTGTGTGTTGCTTGGTAGATTTGGTGACCCTATGAGACCGGAGTAGAGTCCGGGAATCTGCTTCTTTGCCTTGGCTGTGGAGACTTCGCGACCTCTTTGTTCCCGGTCTCCTACCCCAGGCCCAGGTCACGCAGCCGCCGCCTCTGTTTCTTGATTTACCTTCGCCCGACTCTGCCCGCCGCACTCGGTGGCCCCCAGGTGGCCTTGGGAGTGGCGAGCGAGACCAGGAGGGAAACCGCACAGTCCCGCTATCGGTCTGCCGGGAAGTTCGCATTTTGCAGGTTGCAGCATTCGGTTCTAACCCATCGTTCCCTGCCTACCCTCTTTTTTTTTCCTGATTGATTGATTGATTGATTGATTGAGACAGGGTCTCGATATTCGGTTTAGCCCTTGACCTCGCTATGTATAGCCCAGGCTGGCCTCGAACTCGCAGCAATCCTCCTGCATCAGCCTCCTGAGTGCTGGGATTACATGCGTGCCCGCACATCACATCCTGGTGTGCAGAGCATCCTCAAAGGCTGCAGGTTGCGCGCTTCTCTTTTGTATGAGGTACGCGGAGAGCTGGTGTCTGTTTTTCGAATTTGGTACCTAGGCTAAACGTCCCACTGCGGAGCGGGGATGAATTTGTTAAAGTACGGCTGACATTAAATAATAGGTACTGTGGTTTGCAAGTGCTGTAGCCTGTTGAAGTTCTTTAGAAACAACTGGATGAAAGTTGGATCATGTTTTTCAAGCACTGCCCCAGAAAATGCCCAACTTGGGTCAAAAGCAAGGGTGGCTTCAATTTTTAAAAAATATGTTTCTTCCATTGTTATGAATGTTGTAGGTATTTAAATAAGCCTAATACTTCATATCACCATTTTCGGGACTGCAATTTTGGGAGTTGTAGCTTCAGAATAATACTGTAATAATATATGTTTTGTATTTTAGAAAAATATTTTACATATATGCTCCCAGTCTGATCTTCAAACATCTGGTTTACATCTTCATGAACTGGGAAAACCCAAAACACAGAACAGTATTTAAATTCAGCTAAAGAGTTGAATTTAAATTAGGTCCTAAAAATCTGAAGAATCTGCTAACGGTTCTTGAAACGAGTTTTTCTATAACTTTGTAAAATTATAAAATATTGGCTGACAAAAAATATAGATAATGTACAACTCAAAGCATTTATGGTATTGTTTTTTTATTATTCTTTTTAAAAAAATACAAAAAACCCATTTATGATAACTAGCCTTCATTGAATATATAGTGTGATCCAAGAGTTGTTGTACAGACTTTTTTTGCATTTTTGAATTTTATCGGTACATTTTAAATATAAATAATGAGCCGGGTGTGGTGGCGCACACCTGTAATCCCAGCACGCGGGATACTGAGGCAGGAGAATCATTCCAAGTTCGAGACCAGACTGGGCTAGAAAGTGAGCTCAAGGCCAGCCTGAACTGTGTAGTGAGACCCTGTCTCAAAAAGACAAAAATGAAAATAAAAAAAAAAATGATAACATTCATCATAGAGAATTTGTATCTGTACATGATTATGTAGCTTCTTTTTTTCCCATACCACTTCCATCCCTTCAACCCATTCCCCTACTTATTTACGAAAGCTTTGTTTCCATTTTCCCTTCTTTTTTTTTCTTGTCCCCCCCTCCCACTGTTTCCTTTCTTATTTGGACATTTTCTTTGTATTTCACAATATCTATTATACATTTGCTCCTTATTTACACTTTCTCACACCAGAGAAACAATGTAGTGTTTACACATGTGTGTCCAATTTATTTCACTTAAGAGTATGTTTTCAAGGTGCATCCATTTAGCTAGAAATGTCTCAAGTTTATCCTTCCTTAAGGCAGAGTAGTATTCTATTGTATAAAAAAACACTCCTTTATTCATCAGTTGATGGGCATTTGGGCTGTTTCCAAGATTTACCTATTACAAACTGCTGCTGTAGACATGGGTATACATATATCACTGTGGTATGATGCTTTTAATTCTTTTAGGAAGATATCAAGAAGGGAGATAGCTGGGATGAATGGAATATCTAGATCTAGTTTTTTGAGGACTCTCCACACTGATTTCCACAGTGGTTGCACCAGTCTACACTCCCACTGACAATGGGAAAGTGTTCCTTGTTCCCCACAGCCCCACAAGCATTCATTATTGGTTGATTTCTTGATAATAGCCATTCTTCTGGGGTGAGATGGAGTCTCAGCATTGTTTTAATTTGCATCTTTTGAATTACCAGTGATATTGGACATTTGGTTATATATTTATTTGCTGTTGCCACTTCTGTATCTGAGAAGTGTCTATTCGTTTCAGATGCTGTTTTGGGGATGGGTCTTTAAATCTGGGGGGTCTGATTGTTGTGGGTTCTTTATATAGTAGTCCTTTGCCTGAGGAACAGCTGGCAAAAGTTTTTTCTGACATTATGAGTTATCTCTTCACTCTTTCGGTGGTTTCTCTTGCTGTACAAAAGCTTTTTAATAAAATGAGAGCTCAGTTGTTGATTCTTTGTGATATTACCTGTGCAATTGGGGTTTTGCTCATAAAGTCTTTGCCTAGTCTTTAAGAGTTCTACCTATTCTATCTTTCAGCAGATTTAGTGTTTTTGTTTCAATATTTAGATCTTTGATCCATTTTGATTTTAGTTTAATGCATGGTGAAAGATAGGGTCTAGTTTTAATTAATCTTCGGGATGGGAAAAGCCACTTTTTTCTATTACCATTTATTAATGAGACTGTCTTTCTTCCAGTGAAGATGTTTGGCACCTTTGTCAAAGATAAGGTGGCTAAGTATGTTTGGAGTTGTTTCTGCATCTTCTAATCTTTTCCTTTGATCCTTGGGTCTGTCCCACCCCCCTGCCCCCCGCCTCCAGTACCATGCTGTTTCTATCACAGTAGCTTTTAGTGTAATTTCAAGTCAGGGGTTGTGATGCCCGCTGCCTTGCATTTGTTGCCCAGAATTGCCTTTGAAATTCTAGATCTCTTCTGGTTCCAAATGAATTTTAGGATTGCTTTCTCTAACTCTGTGAGATATGCTATTGGTATTTTAATCAGGATAGATTGCATTAAATCTGTTTAACAATTTTGGAAGTATGGCCATTTTCACTATATTGGTTCTTCCTACCCAAGAGCTAGAGATACCTTTCCATTTTCTGATATCCTTTTTGACCCCCTTTTTCAGAGTATTATAGTTTTCAACATAAAGATCTTTTATTTCCTTTGTTAGATTGATTCATAGGTATTTCATTTTTTTGGATGCTATTGTGAAAGGTATTTCCCATAATTTCTCAGTTTGTTATTTGTATACAGTAATGCTATTGATGTTTGAATGTTGACTTTGTATCCAGCTACACTCCTCAATTTGGTTATTACATCCAAGAATCTTTTGGTGGAGTTTTTGGGGTCCTCTATATAGAATATCATGTCATCTGCAAATAATGATAATTTCACTTCTTCCTTTCCTATCCTTATTCCTTTTATTTCTTTCTCTTGTCTAATTGCTCTGCGTAATGTTTCCAGAACTGTATTGAACAAGAGTGATGATACTGGACATCCTTGTCTTGTTCCTGATTTTAGGGTGAAAGCTTTCAATTTTTGTTCAGTTAGTGTGATGTTGGCTATTGGTTTGTCATAGATGGCTTTTTTTTTTTTTCTGATACTGAAACTCAAACTCAGGACCTTGTGCTTGCCGGGCAGGCGCTGTGCCACTGAACTATATCCCTAGCCCCAATAGATTCCTTTTATCAGATTGAAATAAAGACCATCTATTCCAATTTTCTGTAGCATTTTTATCATGAATGGGTGTTTGTACACTTTGTTTTTTGTATTTTTGAGACAGGGTCTTACTATGTAGTTCAGGCTGGCTTTGAGCTCACTTTGTAGCCCAGGCTGGTCTCGAACTTGCAGTGATCTTCCTGCCTCAGCCTCCTGAGTGCTGGGATTATGGGTGTGTGCCACCATACTTGACTACATTTTAAAAAATATATTAAACATTTTAAAAATATATATTAATTCGTTTAGTGTTCACAACAACCCTATTGGTAAATGAGATCAGGCCTTAGTTAAGATAAGGACATAGGAGCTAAATAACTTGCCCAGGTTGCCAAAGGAAATTGTTAGCAGAGCTGGATTAAGTACAACGCTGGTTGTGGGACATACTCTGTGTGTGTGTGTGTGTGTGTGTGTGTGTGTGTACAAACTTAAATTAGGCAGAAAATTATTGTGCATAAGGTTTTAGGCATACACCAGGTAAGCATGTAGAACCTCACCTTTAAAAAGTAATTTACTTTATTAACTTGGGACTCAAGAAAAAACACTGGAGTAGTAACAAGAACTTTGACCGATAAATTTGCAGCCTCAGTTTCCGTAGGAGGGTTGAGATGGTGATTCTGTTATTCTTGGTTTCTTGGGTCAGTTGGTGTTGCATATTTTGCCTGTTAATAAACAAACTAAGGGGCTGGGGATTTAGCTCAGCGGCAAAGAGCCTGCCTGGCAAGCGCAAGGTCGTGAGTTCGGTTCCCGGTACTGGAGAAAAAAACAAAAAAAAACAAACAAACAAATAAACAAACTAAAATGTCAATTATCAGTTTTCTGTTTTACAGGCTCTATTCACTCCTAGGACTTTCCCTGTTCCCCCCCTGATCAAAGATTCTCAGAATTATGACTTAATCTCCCACTTGAATGTCAGTTAGTTTTCAAGCTTATAGATTTTCTATTTGGATATATGCCACTAGTCTAGTTTCAACATATTCAAAATTTAAATAATTCTTCCCCTCATACTTGTAACGAAGAACTCAATTACTTCATTTTTGTTAAAGATTTTATTCTTTTAATATTCCAAGCTGGCAAATTTGGAGTAGAGTCCCTGTTGATTCATCTTCATATTCTATATAGTTAGGCATCGAGTTATTACTTTCTGCTAATGTTCATCTCCTTTCCTCCATTATTTTTGCATGTTCCCTAGACCAGCCTCAAGATGCGGCCCTTCTGCATAACCGCCGTAGTCATGCTAGGTTCTGGTCTCCTTCCAGTTTACCACCTTTACATATTAGTCATTCCTGTTTTAAACCTTCACTGATTCTTCTGTGTCATGGCATAGGATCATAAAACTTTACAGCTGAAGAAAATTTTAGAAAATAATACAGTGCAATCTCCCTTTCCCGAGTCTTAGGGAAAAGTGAATTTCACAGTTACCACATGACTGATTTCACACTGAACCGGTGACCACGCTGGACTAGCTCTCAAGGTATATGAGGCATGTCTTAGAATTCTGTTTTTAGTCCCTTTGTACTGGTCCTTAAACTATTTGATAGAACACTGCTAATGTTTGTTGACGTGTAAACTAAACTACCTTTGACTCCCCATTAATAAGTCCTCTTTCTTTCTACCAGTAATAGAAATTCAGTGTAAATGATCGTAAGCAAAATAAATAATTTCCTGGCTCACATGACAAAGTCCATTGGTAAAGCCATGGATGGATTCAGAGATGCAGCTGATGTCTGCTAAGCTATCTCTTGATAGTCCTTTTCTGTATGGCATTATGATGGTCTGTGGCATCCTCTACCTTATGGGGACAGAGGGTAAATTACCAGCCAATCTGTATCAAGTTTATACTGTACACAGATAAGCACTTTACCTAGAATATAGATACTATTTCCATATTCAAAATTAGCCCTGTTGTTGGGTGATCAACTCCTCATTTGGCTTTAAAATTTCCAGGAAGTGGTTTTATTTTAACTTTTTTTTTCAATATTACAGCAGCAGAGGTGCTAGGTAAGAAGTGAGTGAGGTGCCAGGTGTGGTAATGCATGCTTGTAATCCCAGCACTTGGGAGGCTGATGCAGGAGGATTGCTGCGAGTTTAAGACCAGCCTGGACTATAAAGTGAGTTCAAGGTCAGCCTGAACTCCATAGAAAATCCCTGTCTCAAAAAGAAGAAAAAAAAAAAAAGGGAAGTGAGGTAAGGACAGAAATATCTGGAGCTCCCTCTCTGGCTAGTAATTATGACAGTTAGGTGCTCTGGCTTAATGGCTCAAGTTTAGGGTGTTCATTTTGTTGTTTTGCTTTATTTTGTTTCAGGTTTTATCCCAGCAATGCAAGCATAGAATTTAAAATTTTACCTCGGTGTGTTGACACACATCTGTAATCCCAGCACTTGGGAGGTTGAGGCAGGAGGATCTCAAATTTGAAGCCAGGCTGGGCTACATAAGTGAAAACCTACCTCAAAAAACAGAAAGCAAAGCAAAATAAAACAAAAAAAGTAGTACTGAAAGGCTTATATAAAATAATTCAAAGAAAATTCCTTGGTTTCTTTTTCAGGCACAATCCTTTGTAACATTTTGTGCCATTTCT